TTCCATAAACAAAAAGAAATAATTTAATGATTTTAATCTTCAAATAAATTATTGACTAAAGAAAATTTTCATATTACTCAATATAAAATTTAGAATTACCATATTCCAAAATAAAATATGAATATTCACAGGGTGTGTAATTATGCGCTATACAATACTTTTATAAAATACTTATACGATTTTTTTCAAAAAGAAATTATTTTCTTTAAATTTAAAAATAAAATTGGTAGTCGCTTATATAACAATTCACATAATTTGTACTAGTTTCAATCTTAATATAAGAAATAAATCATGAATGTATTTGCGAATATTAAAAAAATTAGTTAAATTAATTATTTGTAACAAATGTGTCTTTTTCTCTCTAAACTACATTTTTAATCATCTCCATTTAAACTACTTTTTGAATAGGAGTCTCTGAAAATAAAAAAAAAATTTGAGTAAAAAATTTATAAATTTAAAAAACAAATTAGATTAAAATCTTATTTTTTAGATCAAAATAAATTATTTATTTAACTTGTTTATTCAAAACCGAATGTAATGATCAAATGTAACTAAAGAAAATCATGTGTAAAACTTAGAAATATAACAATTGCATGCAATTGAAAAAAAAAAACAAATAGTTATCAAAACAAGTGTATTGTTGTATGATAGAGTTGATCAATAATGGAGCTTTATTTTGGTTTCTTATCAAATTCTTCCATATGAAACATGCTTCCAATGCAAGCGTGCTAATGTTCCAATTGACAGCATACTCCTTTCGTCCTTGTAAGAAGCAGTTAAGTCATTAACTTGCTGGTCCAAAAAAAAAAGAGTCATTAACTTTATCCCAAAAAAATCAATTTTAATCATATTTAGTAACATGAGTTGCATTAAAATAAATTATAGAAATTGTAATTAATTAATAAGATTTTTAATAGGAGTAATCTTGAAAAAATGTAATTAAGATCTTATCTGGTGGCTTAAAATAAGAATTAACCCCACGTCTTAACATAAGAGTTAGTTAAAAGATTATGTTTTGTTTTAAATATAAGATTTTAATATTTTTTATCTCTTAAATTTATAATTTTTTTTAAAATATTCCTATCGACTGTAAGGAATTCTCACCAAATGGTAATTCTAATGTATATGATTAAAAAAAGTAGTTTAAGAAAATCAACACACATTTATTGTAATTAACTAACTTAACTAATTTTTTTAATCTTCTCAAATTAATTATGTAATAACCCTTATATTAAGTACCAGAAATAGTATTATTTATTTCTTTTGAAAGATGTCATATAAGAAAGATGAGATTTTAAGAGGAAAAATGGTGAAGAAGGATACATGATTTGTAGTTTTTTTTTTTTTCCTTTTCAACAAAATAATATAATTAAGGATCAATAAATATAATTTTCTTTTATTTCAACAAAATCATCGAAGGATTTTATTCCCTTTCAACATGACCTCCTAAATAGTTAAAATATGCATGATAGATTCCGCGTGAATTATTATTTCTTTTGACAACCATGTCTAATTTCAAATACCATCCAATGGTTGTGTCGAAATTGTTTGGCAGTGTCACCTTGGGACCCTTCAATTAATATACTCCCCCAATTCTTAATATAAAAATTATTTAATTTATTTTAGTAAATTAAGAAAGATAAATAAAAGATTATGCAAACTTAACTCAAAAATTTTCACTCAGGAGCAATATTATTCTAAAAGTTTTTCTTTTGGTTCAATATCACTCCAAACAGTTTTAAATGTAATAATATTATCCCATTCCCATTAAAAAACTAATATTGACAATTAATAAGGCAACATTGCTCTATTTTGAAGCCTTTAAGGTGACATTCAACTCAAAAAAACTTTTGGGGCAACATTGCTTCTGAGTAAAAATTTTTAAGAAAAATTTGCACTTTAACCCATAAATAAATTACTAAATTTTAACAAATATGACATGATATTTCTAAAATATCCTTATGCAACATTGGATCATATGTTAATCTATATGTTAGGTAAATCAATTTAGGAACAAATGATAAAATATGATAGACAAATAGGTCTGTTGTACATATAGGACTAATAATAATCATATTTTTGATTTACTTGTTTCTCTCATGTCTTTATCAGTGTCATTTTCCTTCATGATTTAGGAGGTGTTTAAATAGAATCAAAATCATGATTAAAAGTATTTTTATGATATACGAAATAAATATATGAAAGTGTTTGTCTCGATTTACAGAAAATTATTTTTGGAGTCACTTTGCTAGGTACATGGCTCGTGCTGGCCCTTTGCTTGTCAATATGTTATCATATACCATATGCGTATTAAACCATAGGACCCACGTATTATTAGATTTTGTTCATTCTTATGTTTATGTGCTACGTGGGTCGGTCACTTACCTTGTACCATATCAAGAGATGTAAGTAGAGCTTCAAAAGTAATTGGAAGATGTTGGGGGCAGTTTCTGGTGTTGTGTTCATATAATGTATCTTGTGTTGCAAGGCACTTATGAGATAATGGATTATTTATTATTGTGTAATCACATCAGGAGCGGAAAGAGGCTATCCTTTAGCTAAATAAATATGAGCTTGCAACAGAAATCTAAAACCTGAGTCTATATACCGCGATTGGCTTGATAGAATATTTAATAAAACGATTGGCTTGATAGAATAATGTTAAATTAATAATTAATTAATTTATTATTAATTAAATTAACTGAATAAAAAAACATATTTGAATTTATCTTATCAAAATGCAAGATGTTATATTTGATTAAGATATTATAATTGAAAAATATTCTTAATATCAACCTCTTATGCAATATTGGAATGGTGGATAAAATATGTTATATGTCGTGAGGTGCATCTCTCTACATTTTGACTCTCTTGACTCTCTTGAGTCTTGACATGGTTTTGAATCCAATTTTTTATCCTAAATAGAAATTTTAAAAAATTAATAATTTAATAAACAAAATTAAGAATTAAGGGGAATATAGGAAAAAATTTTCAAAAAGGTTTACAAAATTCTTCGTTGTAAAATTTTGTGGCAACTCCGTTTCATTTGATTTTTCATTTTGGAGATTAATGCTACGTTTGGATGGAAAGAAAATGAGGGAGGAAGGAAAACTAAGAAGGAAAATAGGGAGAAAAGTGGTTTTTCCTCTATTTGGATGAGGAAAGAAAAGTTGGGGATAAAATGAGGTGAGTCCCACGGCCTATTTTCCTCCCTACCTTTCTCTCCATATATGGAAAGAAAATAAGAAGAAAACATATTTTTCCTCTCTATCCTTATGTTTTTTCAGAAAAATAATACCTATTTTTTTCATCTTTTCACTTTATTTATTATTAACAAATCTTTCTTCCATGTTTGCTTGATTAAAAACAAAATAAGTAAAATTGCAAAAATCTTTCTAAAATAAACTAAAAGGAAAAACAAATAGAGTTGTTGTTTTGGTTTTTTTTTAGCATTACATTACACAAAATGTTTTTTTTTACAAAATTATTTGGTATTAAAATATAATACATGATAATATATCTTTATCAAATAATATGATTTTAAATTATATGATTATGTTAATGTAAATATAGTTTTTCATTATGATATTTAATTTGATTTTAATCAAGATATATTTTGTCATAACAGAAAGGGTATTTTAGTTATTCATATATTTATTCATTTTCTTTTCCATCTGTTTTCTCTTGTCCATCCAAATATGAGAGGTGATAATATTTTCTCTCCAATTTTCTCTTCTCTCCATTTTCTCTCCTCTCATTTTTTTTCCTCTTAACTTTTCTTCTCATCCAAACAAAAGGTAAGGTTTAGATATGACACCAAATAAGCCAATTTAGTCGATGCAGGGTGCTTATCTAGTGCTCATTACTTAAAAGTTCTCAATTAATAATATTTAAATTCTAAATTTATCTTTTTGAAAAACATGATAGTTAGCTAATTATCTTTATTTTAAATTATGCATATATTTAATAAAAATACTAAAAGTATTGCGTATGTGAGAAATCAAATATATTGAGGGAAACTATATACATGGAGCCACATATGAGTTAATGAGTTACATTAAATTAAATGTTTTCGAATATAAGATTTACGCAATTAAAGTTAAATAGTAAGGGGCAGGGCAGCGGCAGAATTTTGTCTTTTGATGTATTTCAATCCTTTTTATATAAAATCGAAACAATTATTTCTACATGAATTTCTTAAGTACTCCCTCTGGTTTAAAATATAAGATAAACTTTGTTGGAAGGCCTTATTTTTATAAGATAATATTCACTTTTGTCTAAATATTTAATGATTTCTTTTCAATTTTGTCACCATATAGTCTCTTTCCTCTTTAATTTATTTATTATATCTTTTACTTATTCTTTTTATTGATAAGGGTATATTAAAAAAAAAACATGTCTTATATATTTATTGTTTTAAAGTGATTTTAATTAATTTCTTAATAAACATAAATAGATAAAGTTTATATTATATTTTGAACCAGAGGGAGTATTACGAAGCCACAAATGCACACATGCACATAAGCATGGCAAATGGCGCTGTTATTAGAGCAACTTATCATTGACGAGGAACAGTCAATATTTTTATTTTAAGTGACATTTTTAAATATATATATATATATATATATATAATAGAGGGTTACAATAAGAAGAAAAAATAATTTTGAAGTTGATAAATATTAAAGAATCTGAAAAGTTATAATAATGAATATATAATCAAGAGTGAAATGAATTCTAATCGAATGAATATAAAGCATAAGAAAAATTTAAGCCAATCGATAAAAAAATAATGACGAGCACAATTATATATATATATATATTTATAGTAACTAACTAATTCCATTTATCAGAAGTTATGATAATGATTATTGGCATTAATTAAAAGGGCCTGCAGCAACGGGACCCTATACTCAAGACACAACAAAATAAGAAAAACAAACTTAATGAAACAAACATCCACTACAAACTATATATAAAACAAGATTAAATATTGAAACTAATTAATTGCACTGGAAGCCAGAGTTGTTCATTCCACAGTTGTTGAGAATCACACTCAATGAGATTGGAATGTTGAGGTTGATGCCAAGAACATTAGCTTTAAGGGCAGTGCAAAGGCATGTAGCAGCTTCAAAATCAACCATGCCAGTAATAAGACTGCAACATGGGATTGTTGGTGGCGATCCTACAGTAACATTGAACAAGTTCAGCAAATTGGTACACACACCAAACTTAAGGGCATCTATAGGACAATGGGCCTGAGAGCAGGAGGAAGAAGGGGGGCAAGAAGAAGGAGGAGAAGGCTTTGGAACATAAGGGGCGGTCGGAGTTCCCGGTGTCGGAGTCGGCATTGGCGGTGTCGGAATTGGTGTTGGCAGTGTCGGGGTAGGTGTTGGTGGGGTTGGAGGTGTTGGAGTCGGGGTTGGTGGTGTGCATGGAGCACATGACCTAACCATGGTGAGGAAGACAAGGTTGAGAGTGAGAAGAAGAGAGGTTGCAAGAGGCTTTGAAGCCATCTTCACAAGCAAGGATAACACTAAAATGTGGTTATTTATGAATATTGGGTTAAGCGTATGAAGATTGAGAAGGCAATGGAGGGGTATTTATAGTTGAGGATTTTTGTGAGTTTGTGCTGCATTTGAGTGGAGACCATGTGAACATGTTAGCATTGGAAATGTAGTGCCAACTTCCGCAGAGAGGTTAATATACGATGATTTTTTTTTTGGGGTCAGAATATATCATGATTATCCAAAATGTCGTCTACTTTTATTGTTAGTTTTTATATTCAAAATTCAGATATATTTCAAAATTAGGAACACGAAAAATAGGAGAAATCATTATAAAATTCCAAATAAAAAAATATAATTACCAAAAAAATCGTAATAACAAGTAAATGACATATATTTTGTTGTCATTTTCTGTATTGAAATTTGTCGTTTACTTATTATAGGATTCTTTTAATAATTATATTCTTTTGTAGGGACCACATAATAATTTTCCTGAAAAAATATTGCCTTTAGATCTTGATTTATGGATTTTTATGTTGGACAATAAACTTCTAGAGAGATCCGTCCATACAGTTTTTGGATATGATAAATACTTCTTCACTGCTAAATGTAAGTCAGCGAAAAAAAACGTTTGCTCTGGTCTTTGAAATTTATAATTTGTTCTGCGAATTATTCCCATTAGCTATTAAGAGGGTTTTTATCAGACGTTGTTTCGTCTGTGTTTCAACCAACCTGCAATATCAAAACGCACCGTTTATACTGGATGAAACGGTGCAATCCATAACCTTTTATTGTATTTTTCTAATTTTCCTTCCGCTTTAATTATCATGCATACATAAAATAAAATACTACCTCTTAATATGAGAGTTAGTTGGAAATTATATCAAATCATAAATTTAGGACCTAAATTCATTTTCTCTCCCAAATTTTTAATTTATTCTCTAAAGTATCCATATTGATTACACATGTCAAAGAGTTTCTATTTAAAGATAGTCATAATTAAAAAGAATATTTTGAAAAAATCAACTCATATTTGTTACAAATAACTAAATTAATTTTATTAATATATTCGAATTAGTTATTAAATAGCTTTTATGTTATATATATATATATATATATATATATGAGGAGGTAGTATTTTCTCCTAGTTGGATATCATATGCAAGGATATGATGGGGGCGTTATATATGCTTTGAAGTTTGTTAAAATATTAAAATCAATGACCTTGTAATTTAGTGACGAATTGCATGTTCATTATCGTAGGTAGTACGAATCAAAGACTTGACCTGAGCATTTAGTAGTCCCCTTCAAGCATGGTGTGTCCCTTTCCTTCAAATCAGCTTCACCATAACTTCATCCACCGATTCTCTAAAGCAAATGAAAGTACCATATGACTTGAAATCCATGCACCTTTTGCTTCTCTCTCATTTTATTACCGGCCACCTCTTCAAAGTTGCCCTTGTATTAAGAAACTATCATGGTGACTTGGCTCTTTGACTTGATGAATGTTATAATTCCTTCTCCATTTTCGGTCAACAACTAACTCCTCCTCCTCATTTAACAACTTAGGAAGTTGCATATATAATATGATACATGTCAAGAGAAGGAGTAGTGATTGGAATGACTAGGACACTATATTGTAGCAAGCTAAGCATTACTCATTTTATAGGATGCGTTAGTGCATTATTAAATTACAGTTGTATTTAATTATTGTTGAATGAGTATTAATAGGGATGGTTTATAAAAAAAAAAATATGTTGAGAAACATATCTTTCATTTAGGATCAACACCAACTCCTTAATTAAATCCTATATTAAATATCGGAAGTGTAGGTCTTTCTAATGTTTAGTCGAATAACTAATTCAATTAATTTTTTTAGTTTTTATAAATTATTTATCTAGCATTTATAGTTAGGATTGGAGAGAGTTTTAAATTATATTGTGGATTAGGGGGTGAATGAGAGGTGAGTATTTATTGAATTGTGAGTGATACTTGGAAATTAAAAGTCTCTAGCTAGTCAATCTTCAAATACTAATGAAGGATGGTACGTCAGTGTTCCTCTATTTTGATTATTTTTAATCTTTCAACGTTGCTTTAAGCACTGTTTAAAGCTTGTTTTTCATCTTTTTCATGATTTTAACCCATTAGCTTTATGTTAATGTTATATATGATTAGTTTTAATAATGCCAAATATTAGAAAAAAAGTTTAAATAATATATATCTCGTTATTTGACTAACTACTATATTTAATATGATTATATTATGTAGTTTGTTCAGCAAAAGAAAGGAGCCATCATATTGAACTTCAAAGATTATCATGTTGGATTATGAAAAATGATCGTGAAGAAGAGATTGAAGAAAGAAGAATTTGCAAGATCAAATAGAAATATGAAGACTCAAGTTCTGAAAGCTAAAGTGCCTCTCTATTCTGCTCTGTGCTAACATGTGTTAGATATTTCTACAATATATCATAAACGACAAATCTGTTTGAGATAAAACTTAATTCACGTGAAACTAGAGTTAGAACACAATTCATAGACACTAAGATCAATTTCAAAGATTTCATCAGAGATATGCCATTCGAAACATAGGGCTTGCATTTCACATCTTGATCCTGACCTTTAGTCACTATTATGAAGATATCTTTGATCCTACAATGCACTTTGGAATGATTCTTATTGCATTAAAAAGTAGAAGCAAAGAGCTTTCGAAGGATAGATCACTTGCTGAATTTGGAGCTGAATTAAAGAAGTTATGACCATCCAATATTGAGCACTGTGCCAAATTATTCTATCTAAAGTCAATGAGCTTCTCATGTAACTTGACTCCATTATGTCGAGAATATATTGTAAGTCAAATTTGACTCTAATCTTATCCAAGTCTGACTAAGCTTTTCACGGTATATATTCTTTAGTTATCTCCAATATGCTACAGATATGCTTCAATTTGAAATTTTCTCTAATTCTATTAGAGTCAAAGTAGAGTTAAAATTTCAAAAGCTTAACATCATTGTCAAGAAATGTTCATATGAGCCTGAAATCAAGTTGGGACTTTTCCTATATGTATTATCAATCCTTAAAAGTGTATCAGAACATATGATCCCTCATTTGGCAGGAGATAGACAAAGATCGGAACCCAACAGGTATACAACGTTCAAGAGCACTATTTGTCAAAAGCTTCCAATAGCTAGAACTCTAACGATCATATTTTCAACGAAAGAACAAAAGCTAAGCAGGAAAGAGAATATGCTTAATAGTCAAATGCCTAACATCATCTAGAGCATTCATAAAAGAAGAAGTGTTGGAGCTAGAGCGAACAAGGCAAAGATGCAGATATTCTGAATCCAACATATTCAAAGCTCCAAGTCAATACTCCAGTGAGAGGAGAGTTTCTAGATGCGCTTAAGTGATTAATCCCTCCTATGAGAGAAGATGATCGTTACTCGTACATCTAAGAGAAAAGAATTGCCTCTGGCGTAGGTGTGTGCCTTAGGTGTTGAAGTGGTTGAAAGATTCTCAAGTACCAGTGATACTTGAGAAATTTGTAGTGGCTTTCAAGTACTAATATGTTAAACTTGAGGGATATAGTAGATTGAAATCTCATAGGTGTTCTAGGGACTAGACATAGGTCTGTGAAGAGACCAAATCAGAATAGATCATAGTTTGTATCTTCTTATCTCTTAACTCTTTAATTATATTTCCTAAACATTTTTACATCTTTGTTCGAACTTTTGTTGTTCATTGTCTTTATACTTAGAATTTTTTATTATTTTCACTTTATTACAAAAGAGTTTTTCATTTTAATCAACACCTAATTTAACCCCATCTTAGGTGTTTGGCTATACTAACAGTTAGAACTTCTTTCAGTCTTTAACATAAGAGTTACTTAATTAAATATATTTAAAAACCAAATAAATTAGCTAATTATAATAAGTGTGGCATGATCTCCCTAAATTATTCTTTTATAACTTTATATTATTATATCTTATTTTATAAGTTAGATAAATTAGTTTGAGAAAATTGATAAATATAAGATAAAAATAAATTAAAGTCTTATATTTATGATCAAATTTAACATAACTAGATTTCATATAAAGGATAGATGGTAGTACAATCTATCTTGCTTTTTGTTTTTGGGAAATTGACTATGAAGTGGTCATGAGAAAACGAACGTAATGAGTAAAAAGTTCCATAACATGTTAAGGACAATGAGATTCATTAATGCTTTCTTATTATTGGGATTTTTAAGTGAATATATTCTCTCTTCAAGACCTTAGAGTAATTATCTTTGTTTTTCCAGCTTAGACGAATTAATTTTGATCTGACTTATGGCAGATTTTTCCTTTTGTATTTTGTACAAGAAATCACATTTTAACTGCATTAGCGCATTATCTACATTTAAGTTTAAATTTTTTTATGTATTCTACCTTCTATTATAATAGTGTTAGATAAGGGGCTTCATTTTGATCATAAATACAAACCTCCCAATTCACTTTCATTTTGATAATCCATTCAATCTCTTCTAAGCCAACCCCATCATCCCATCTTCCAAACTTATTGCGACCAAGATCGAGGTGGCAATTAAGTTATGCACAAGGAAGTCAATGTTTGAAAGCTCGACATGAACGAGACACAAATAAATCATCAACAGAATCTTCAAAATTACCGAGAATGAGAAGCAGCTCTAGAAGTTCAAAGACAGACTTGAAAAGTCTATTCCATCATCCTTCACATCTCTAACTTCCTACTTATCATCATATTATTATAAATGTTTGTTGTCTTAATAACTCAAATTTTATATTCCTGGAAGTTTTGGTTTTTTGCTGAAAATTGCTGGGTGGGGATTAGATTTCTAATGGTGGAAGTGATGTTTCAGAATTTGATAGCAGAGACTAATTCATACGGTGGAAGCAAGGCTCTTCTAACGTTGCCAATATCACATTGAATCTGTTTGGATCTGCTGTTAAGAGTTTGTGGGATTAGTGCAGCTAAGAGGTAGACGGTGAGAGA